TTGCTTTTTCAAGGAAGTAATCCTTCAAAACATGAAATATTGATTCACCTTTAGTGTCGGTTATCAAAGTTCTTGCGAAGAGCAGTTCTTCGTAGATTTCTTGATTCATAATAAAACGAACATATGCCAATAATAATGCTGCATTATCAGGTAAAGTTGACTCGTCCAGTTGTATAGAGAAATGGGTCGTTTGCAAATAATTATAATTACATGAGAAGCTTTCAATATCAGAACTCATTTCATCAATACGTCTTTCAACAGTACTGTTGCTTAAGGGAATTATTTTAATGATATCAGATGCAGGTTTGTGTCAATGATTTAACCCATTGATTCCCAAAGTGGTCTATATCGACCCCTAGGGGTCTATGACAACCTGCAAGGGGTCTACGTCAGCGAAAAAAAAATTGGGGGTCCATGAAATGAATATGGGGATCCACGATAGTGGATCTCAACACATACACTGGTAGTACCTATTTACTTACATCATACTATCTTATAATATCAAAACATATACATTATTTATAAAAGTACCTATGAAGTAAAAAATTTATTATATATGTTTATAAAATTGTGTAAGTTGTAGGATGTTGGTATTCGCTTTGTGGTCGCAATACATTTTGAACTTGTAAGAACCTGAGAGTCGCAGTCTCAGAGCTTCGCTACCTTGCACTGACTTGTTCAATTCGTCGCTCTATAAATACGAATGTGGGACAAATACGTTTATTCGTTTCCTGAATCTTGAAAAGGAAAGTGCTAAGAAAATATTTTAAAAAATATAAACAGATAGTATATCACACAAATTATAGTGAGTCAGTGTTATTTTGTTTGAGAGTGCTGGAGAAAAGTAAGTACATTATTTTTTATTAAATTTTAGTTTTGTACTCGTAGTTAGCAAAGATAGATAAATTACGCCAATCATGACTTTAGTTATCAGTAGTTAAATATTCAATCATGCAAAATTACACGAGTACTCCTCAATAGTTTCTTTTTGAAAGTTTTAGCAATCGGTAATAATTACAGTGCAATCTCCGTAATTCGAGCTAATTGTTGCAAGAAGATGTTCGAATTATGGAATGTTTTCGGAAAAATCAAAAAATATTTTTAATATGCAGCTGCTGGATTTTCTGTCTCATTTAAATAATTTACTTTTGCCCACAGATGACTGATGCCATGTCCGAATCTAAAAAGAAATGTAGACAGTACAGTGTTGATTATATGAAATTTGGCTTCAGTCGATCATTGCCGGACAAACAATCGCCTATGTGCCTTTTATGCAACAAAGTTTTGGGCAATGACGCTATGAATCCATCTAAACTGCAAGATCATCTGAGAAGATGCCACCCTGATAAAACAGAGGAAGATTTGAAATACTTTCAAACACTCAAAGATAAATTTCAGAAGAGACCTACACTGGACAGAATGTTCGCTTATTCGTTAATTTTTTGCCTATTTTTAGATAACTTAAACGTATAAGAACCGGAATTTAATCAAACTAACAGTGAAATTATTGTAGAACATACGTTTATGTTATAATTAATAAACGAACTCGCTTATTGTACTATTTTAAATAAAAAACTTTTTTTTATTGTTTTTCACTTTTTTTTATTTTATCCCTCTTATTTTTTTTGAAAGCGGGCACTTATTGGTCAGACACCTGTTTATTTAATGTTACGTATATTTTACATAACAGTTACAAAATTTTATTTTGAGTAGTTTTAATTTAAATTCAATTAATAAATGTATAAATTAACATGTGTTTTTACTTTTTTAACACTAAACTTCACTACAGTTAGAAATTTACAGGAAATCAATATCAGGTAAGTAGGGGGTCTACCCAACACGGAAAAACGTGGCAAGGGGTCTACGACACAAAAAAGTTTGGGGAACTCTGATTTAACCCATTACATACCCACGCGCGAAAAACATAATCTCCCTCTGAGACGAGTAAGATTCCACTGTTCTCCTGATAACCATCGTAACTTTATGCGCGCAATACAAGTTCTGCCATCTGTTGGATCTCTATGTGAATAGCAACAAGTAATAACAGAGGTTGAATGTAGCAGCGAGTGGCGAATTATTGATAAGTCAATATTTTCGGTAATGTTCAGTAGATGGCGTCATATGTAAGATCTGTTAATCCAGGAAACGGTTCATTTTTTTGGGAAACTTATTTCAATTGGATTAAGCTATTACCTCACATCAGCACAGGGCAAACTTGTTTCAGTTTTCCCTGAAATGGAGAAAGCGCTGTCGAGGAATTTATTTATTAATTTTCAACTTTAACCATATTCAAACCTCATTTTTTATGCCACGCCAAAGCAAACACTAGCAATTGGTCGCTACGTTCTCATCTTGGTCATACCTCAAAGTTCAAATAAAAAAATGATAATGACATGAATATATTTCACATTTATCCGTCTTCCAAATGGAAGTTTTTTGCTGCTGCTGTATAGCGTGTTTCAGTAACAGCCCGAACACGTGAAGCTAGCTCTACAATTATGAAATAGCTCCGTATGAACCTAGCCATGTGCTGTGCTCTTGAGGTGTCGACGTATTATTTTTCGCATTTCGGTTCCATGATTGAGATACAGCATTAGTAGTTGAAGATTGCATATCAATCATCTGGTGTATTTTGACAACCGTTCTGGGTGAATTTTCGCGTTCTCGTAGTCGCTTGGCGTTTTCGGGTGGCTGTGACCTGGTACACCCAAAGGAGGATGTAACTTTATGCTCGTTTGTCGCTTTGGGGAGTCTCGATGTCTTTAGGAAGTGGGAGCGTCTACCCCAGACGGCCCCGGATTTTGCTGAGCTTGCGCGGATACATTTTAAAATATTGTAATGATGGCTCCACGCGATTTTGGCGTGGTGCAGGACAGTTTTAGGCTGTTTTTGGAACATGGGGTGTAGTAGCGTAATAAAAGATCGAACTACCACCTGGTAGACATTTAATCCGACACATATGTGGATAGATTTGGCGGCCAGCAAGATTTATCACCATGAAAACTACAAGATAAGCTTCAAATGTTACATTCTCCCTCTTCCTCATCTATGGTGCCCTGTCATGTACGGCTTCAACATTGTATCAGGAAAATTCTTAGGCCTGCACTTCACTACCGGCGATGACCGTTGACCGTGTGATCGTTCATTAATAGACACGATAATCGTGCAAGCATCCACACGAGCGTCCGTAGTAGTTTTTCAAACGGAAAGCATCAATATGACCCGGAGATTCCCTTTGACGAGCGTCCGAAAAACCGACAATTCACGGGTCGAGAGCGATCATAGACGATGATCGGCGAATACAGCCGAGTATGCCCTCTTCACAATCCCCCTCGCCTAATCGTTTGTAATCGCCGATTGTAAAGAGGAGCTATTAGGTGTCGTATGCGGATCAATGCAAACAGCCTATAACATACTAGGTCAGTGGTATAAAAAAATAAAGCTCTTTGTTAATCCATCCAAAACGTAGCTAGTCCTCGTCACCAAAAGATGGATGGTTGAAGATTTCAGTCCCCTAACCCCCAACACTTCACGGTCTACCATTGACTCTCAGTCGAGAGGTAAAATACCTGAGTGTGGTGCTACGTAGTGAGTTGTCATGGAAACAGACTATCGACAACATCCTCAAAAAGTCGATAGCGATCATGTGGCAGTTGCATCGAGTGGTCGGCACGATTGAGGGTCTAGACACAACGCCTAGCATCTAAAAGAGCTATGTGATCCGTAAGCTCGAAAAGATTCAAACATTGGGGATAACTGGTGTGATAAGGACAACCCCTTCAGTGGCCCCCGATGTTGTCCTGGAGCTGCCGTGATCGGAGGACTGCAAAAAGCGGGAAGCCATGACGAAATTCCTATGCCTGTGCGATAAGGGCACGTAGGTGATACGAGAACAAGTGGTAGGCCACTCCAGGATCAAGGATGTGACGAAGATAAATGTTTCCATATCCGAGGTAAGAGTGGAGAAGCCCACGAACACAAATTTCTGCCTTATATCCTGATGTGTTTCACCGACGGATCCTTTTCCAATGAAACAGAATATTCCTGGAAGGCACAGGAGTGCAGCAAAGCTCCGCGCATCGAAACTACACGGCGGTCTTCCAGGCAGAAATATATCTTAATGGTGACATACTTAGAGGAGTTATAGCAGTGCACCACTCTGCCCTTCAGAGCTTACCCAGATCCAAAGAAGTGTCTCTGCTACCAGATAATGAGTGAGCCGATTATCTGGCTAGACAGGTGGCCAGCAGCCCCTGTATTGGTCCCAATCCTAGGCTGTGTATAAGATGTCAGGCCAATGCCGTATTGAATGAATGGGCGTATAGTGACCTAGGAATAGCGAGGCTATAGAGATGACTGCAGGGAGACTAAGAGCTTCGTAGAGGTCTGACAAACGTCGGACCCGCTAGCTACTGGACAGAAGCAGGGAATCACTCGATCTTCTGATGGGGATCCTTACCGGCCACTGTAGATTGAACAGGCTCTTATTCCGACTAAGGGTAAAAAAGGAGACCCTATCTGTCCTGACCGTCATTAGGAGATCAGGAAGGTTCGACAGACAAAAGGATAAGTATGTGTTTGTACACTCGGGGTCGACAAAAAGTGCCAAATATGCCCTACTTGTCAGGGCCTTCCCACTACTATTACTGCTTCTCTCAAATGTCTATCGTTACGTATCCATGCATTTCACGAGCCACTGAAAATGGGAAAACGAGAATTCGAAGCTCACGCTGGTGTTTATTTTGACTCATCAATGCTTAACTCTACTCAGCGAACTTCATAATGCCATCAAAGTTTGGTCACAATTCACATTCACAATTGACGTAATTGTTTCAAATATGCAGGTCGTGATGACGTATACTAAATATCCAATTGTGTACGTGTACTAGGACGTTATTATAACGAGTTTTACAGGTTATTTCCTTTGAATTATATATTTTTATATTATTATATTTATATTACAATATTTTTTTATTTTAGAATCAACCTTTCCGATTTAAAGCGAACTAAGTCAGATCACAAGGAAATAATTATCGTCTTCCATCCCTGATCGACGTTCACTCAAAAGCAAACCCTAGTATTTGAAGTGACAAATTATTCTTACATCACTAGCGTCCCTATATATAATATTTGCCAATTGTTAAAAATAAGTGTGAGTGAAAAGTGAATAAAAAATGACCGAATTGGACACATTCAGATATAACATACAAAACAAAAAATATGTCACATATTAGCTATTCAGTGTGGCATGCCTTCTTGAAAATGTATTTACGTTTAATCTGCAATGCTGCATCGAGTGACAATTGACAGGGAACGACAATTGCCAATCGCTGCAATCTACTAATATACTGAGTATCCCATAAGTTTAGAAAAACAAAATACGCCATTTTTTCAATTTTAAAAATGTGGCATTTTCACGTGCTTGTGCTATCTGTGTCATAGCCTAGGCTTAATCCTTCACCAGGACAACGCAGCAGCCTATAGTAGAGAAACAACTACTATATGTAAGCAATGTCTATTTCAGATGATTTGTTCCTTCTTAAAGAAAATTTGCGGCTAGCTCATCTATAGTATGGGGAACATGTTGTAATCTTGAATAAATTATTAGCTACTCGACTACTTGAATAATTTCACTATGTTATACCATTTTTATGCTGTTATCATCTTTCATACTATTTTTAATGTCTTTGTGTATCATATTATATCAAATCCACATTTACAACTTCTGCCATTGCACTAAAAGACAAACATATACGTATCTCATGGTATTTCAAATGCATTACATTGTAGAGAACTTAACATTATAGATTGATATGAATGTCTAAAAATAGCTAATGCTCGTTCATGGGATGCGATTACGTAAATTAAATAATGATTCAATGTGCAGTTCAAACGCTATGTCAACATGTCTTTTCATCGAATACTATACTAATCTAGCCATTACGTGATTTCTGTCTATTTGTATTGCAAACAAAATTGCGAATATATTTTATACTTGCAATCAGTGCTTGTTCATTTGTCAGATTAGAACAATTCCAAAATGAGTCTACCTAAAACGTTCGTCAAAGGGTTTCACGATGAAAGTGATGTTAAGAAGATGAAATACCTCACTTTAGGAAATACTGGTCTAACAGTATCTCAATTGTCATTGGGAACAGCTACTTTTTCTTATTTCTATGGGTGAGCATTTGTTACATACTCCATATTGAATTTCTCCTTGACAGTACATTGTTCATATATTTTAGTAGTAGTTATATATAATTTATTGTCGAGAAGGGCTTTTATATCCAAATCAAAAAATTCCACATATAAAAATCAAAAACAAGAATCATATTATGGTTAGAAGTTTGATATGAGAAGGAAGAAGTATTTCTTCAGCATATCACAATATCTTTTATGCTGTATTGATGGTTTTATAAACAAAATGTTCACTCATTGCATCATTTAGTTTTTTCATTGACATCTTAAATTAATTGCATTCAGGGACTACAATGAGGAAGAGTGCCGAAAAATGGTTAATGAAGCAATAAAGAGGGGGATCAATTATATTGACACAGCTCCATTTTATGGTCATTGAACATCAGAGGAAATCTTGGGAATGGTAAAAATGTGTCCTCTAGAATTTTCAAAATACTCATGTATTCTTTTAGTGCTTGGAAGAAATTCCAAGGAAAGCCTACTACCTGGCCACCAAAGTTGGCAGATACGAAAAGGATCCGAAGCTGATGTTTGATTTTTCTGCCGAAAAAACAAGGGAAAGTGTCGAAAAGTCATTGAAAACGTTAAAAGTAGATTATGTAGACCTGATTCAGGCAAGTTTCGGCCACAGTACACACAGTGTATTGCTTTGTGCTTTATCTGTCAAAAAGTTGTCCTGACGATGCTGACGATGCTGACAAATGGATGAATTTCATTTCCAGAATGTCTTTTATTTTGTCATAGGAATGTTCCTAGTTAATCTAGAACTATAGCTTACTATATATACAAATAGTATATATCTATATTAATACCTTTTCTGTTCAAAAATCATTTTTACAGGCGTTGCATATATGCAAGCGACCTAACTGAACTATGATTTGCTTTGTTCACACTGTATCCATGTATATCAATTGTAATAAAATTGTATACGCGTATACCAACAGGAGCATAAATTGACCATTGACTATGAATTGGTGATCATTCCAGCAGTGTTAACTTGGCACATTGCTTTCAGGTACACGATATCGACTTCGCGCCAAGTTTAGACATAGTTTTGAAGGAAACACTTCCCACGTTGCACGAATTTGTGAAGAGAGGAAAAGCGAAATACATTGGAATTACTGCATATACGTGCTCGACTCTTCTAGAGTGCATTGAAAAGAGTTCGGTGCCAATTAGCACAATTTTAAATTACTCTAGACTGACAATGATCGATGATACGCTAAGAGAGTTCATACCGAAATTCCAGGTAGGATTAAACAAGTTCGAAACTTTTGCAAACCTTAAAGTTGGTCTACTGCCTTCCAGGAAGTCATTGAGCAGTGTAAATAGGGTGCCCTGGAATAGCATGTTAGTCTCTTGTATCCATGTGGAATGCAAAACAATAATGCCGCAGGCTCCTATACTACGCTTCTCCTAAGGAACGCTACTAGAGGTCGGCTTTTCTCAAATAACTTTTGAACGGCACTGTATAATCCAACGACATTTCAACAACTTAGTTGGGGTCTTACGAGATAATCCTGTCCATGGAAAACAATTAACTCATTTAGGTCGCCTGGAGCAGACTAGTCCCAACGCAACAATGGCATTTCTTGATTTACTGGGAGAATTAGGGACCCATATAACACAAGCCGTATACTTAGTTATTCTAGATTGAGAGACATTTAACAAGAACTTTAGACACTTCGTATTGGTTGAATTTGTGACCTTCGCGCTGTTTTAGACTCGGCATGGTAAAATTTTGCCCGAATGACATTTATTTATAGGAGCCTTTGGAAAAATTTTGCTGTATGTTATTCCGGGGCATCTTGATTGATCCAGGAGATTCAAAATCATATTTCAAGATATTGCCAGCTAGCCGGAACGTCAACTAGATAAATGAAACAATCACGGGTCAACTTTCAGACGTTACTGTAATTGAAAATAACTTTTGGTAAAACCATTTATTTGCAGATGAAGAATATAGGCATTATTAATGCAGCTATACATGCTCAAGGTCTGTTAACTAATATTGGCCCATCTGATTGGCAAGCAGCTGGTAAAGAAATTAAAGACGCTTGTACCGAAGCCAGACGTCATTGCATCGTAAGTATTTTTGGCACACTTCCACAGAAAAATAGCGTCAAGTAGGTTAACCCTGCACTTCCTATGCAACACTGTCATCAATTCATAAAGGATTAGGTATATTCGGCACGACTTAGTCCATCTTAGAAACAGTTGACTACACGCGTGTATAACAAAGCAATTAAAGTTAGTCAAACAGGCTCATACAATTAATTAGTCAATAGTCGCCACATACCTGACGACATTGGTATTGTATACATGAATTCACATATCACCATTCAGTTATCCCTCAGCATTCGAAGCAGATAGACTTACCTTAGTTGAGCTGCCCGACACGCACATATCAAAAATAATAAATGGAAAGGAATGGAATTTTTTAGAGCAAATGTACAGAGAAATTTATGATGTATGCAATACGTTTAAGAGATGCGTAGAATTACCGGGGTTGGAAACGTATAAATTGGTAGCACCAAAAAATTGACATATACTCTCCTTCACCCCCTCCAAAATCCAATTTTCAACCTCTGGACTGATTTTCAAAAACTATAAAGCTTCTTCTGCTTGGCATAGTAGTAACATTGTCTAAACGTTTCATCAACATCCGAGCAGTGCTTCCCAAGTTGAGTTGTACTGCTCGGGAATATGGGCTCAGGATCAGCGGACAGAGAGACAGACAGACGGAAATGAGTAACATGGTTGTTCGTAATCGTCATTCCAACACTTCATCGCCCGATGCGTAGGAAGTAAAAAGTAAGATAATACCTATCCCTCATATATGGACCTCTACTGGATCTTTTTTATACTTTTCGTTTACAAATTGGCAACTTATATAAAGACAATGCTCCAACACATATTTCGCAATTTTGGATCCCCCAGGAGAAAATAGAACATATCTTCCACCTTTCTATCGTTTTGTAAACTTATGGAGGATTGAATATTTGCAAACAAAATCACCAGATTTTAAAAATAACACCAATATACCAATCCAATTTTTAGGAAAGTGGGGTTGAGCTGGGAAAACTTGCATTATATCACAGTTTGCAGCAAGAAGGCCCTGCCACAGTACTTGTGGGTATGAAAGACAGAAATATTCTAGAGTATAACCTGAACGTGGTCTTTGGAGGGTTATCTTCCGATGAAAAGGCAGCATATAACCACGTATTGAAGTAAGTAAAAATGTACTGCTAAGATACTTCCTTCATATCTTATACGTTATGTGTTTGCGTTCTCTAGATGCTTTAGAAAGCCTTCTACTATCGCTACTATTTATTATTATTATTATCACTATTATTATTACTATTATTATTATTATTACTATTATTATTATAATTTTTATATCGTCTTTTTGTCACAGGATATTCGCAAAACTTACTGTGAAGCACTGGGGAACAGTTGAGATTGAAAACTACTGGAAAGCCGTTTCTGCTTCGGGGCATTAAATATTCGACATGCATTTTTATAATACGAATCTTGTAAATTATAATGATAAAAGTAATTCTAACATTCTATGTTATAACCAAATAAAAAGAGGTTTCTGGGTTTGTTGTTTGTGTTTGGTTGAAAAAAAAACGGCATTAAGTATCCAGATTCACTGAATTTGACTCTCCATGACAACTCAAAAGTATGATGAAAATGTAGAAGAACCTAATATACAAGTCGATACTCAGCATTTTCGTCGTACTAGCTTTTGTCACCAAAATCCGACATTAGATTTGCATATATCACATCGCACAATAAAATATTTAGTCCTGACCTGCGTAGTAAGTTTTTGTGGGTTTTCAACTTGGTCTGGTAAGTAAAAGTTGCCGTCTCCCTTTTTAAGCAAAGCTTCTGTTGCTGTACAGCATCAGTTGGTAAAATTAAGTATATCATTAAAGAAATAACGAAAAATAGGCTGCATAACATTAGTTTCCCTTCTGTTCATATCATTTATTGCTCTTTTTACTAGGAAATCTTAAATTCAGAGTTACAGGAGGGAATAAAAAATGAATCCGGAATTGGAATTTTGAAATCCCAAGGTAAAATGATGAGATCAAGTTAGTACCGATTGAAATTCTGACTTTTATGTCACATAAACTGATAGAAAGAAAAGATTTAGTCAAATAAAATGTTTCAATTAAAATACTTAAAGATGCACAATCTACTTTGCTAATTGATAAGCATCATTCATTAGCTTTTTTGTACAGTCAAACATTTCAATACTTTGCGTAACAGGTGCTGATTATAATAAAATAGTAATAATTAGAACTTCCTAGGCAACGCCATCATCAGTTAATAAATGCACAAACCTCTGAGAAGCAAGTTATTTACGAACTTGCACAATATAGAAATTAAATGGATCAAGTCAGTCAAACAGACTCAAACAATTAGTGCGTAAACATTCTTTCCATGCTCTAGGTACCGATAATTACCATCCATCTGACAATGTTGCCTCTTCGGATATCGTTAGACGCGGCCGCCTCCACCGAAGCACCGCCGTAGCAGAACAATCAAGCAGACCGTTACGCCGGGCGCTGGGCCCAGATAGCAGAAGGAGACGCGTATCGAAAACACTTTTCAAGTTACAAAAGACTGGGGAACCTGTGATGTGTGAAATATGCGTCAGCAAGTCATGTCTGTCTATCTCAATATCTGTTGTAGATGATGATGGACTGTGAGATGGTGATGGAGTGATTCTGTTTACAATATCTGATTCTGATTAACTGTAGCCGGAACTATCTCTCCAACTCCTTGCCGGCAGCGAGCCTCTGCTTGGGCTAGGGCGAGGTAATCTTTGTAGATGGGCTTGTCCCTAAGTTGATGTTTGGCCAGCCCTGTTACCGCCACCATATCTTGCAAGAAGTACTTAAGAAAGCAGATTGGCTTCGATGTTGGCAAGCCTGATGCAAACTTCTACTTCCGAATACGGCGCACTTTCTACATACTCCCTGTTGTACTCCATAGGATGATTTTTTTTGGTGTGCAGCCTTGTAATCCGGGGTCCCCTCTGAATGTTCGGGGCGACCTGAGGACATCTTCTGTGATGACTTTGTAGATAGACCACAAGGACAGTTGTTGGTCGGCCGGCCTGGTCTGTTCCGGGGTGATGTGGTTGGGGATGAGAAACGCCCAGAATGAGCTTTAGGGGCCATCGGGGAGCAATTTTCTGTAATCTCCATCAGCAGAAGCTGAGCATTGCACTCAGTGGTTGATGAAATTGGGGAGGTAAGGGGGCAAGCTATTGTATCTGCTCGGACGCTGCAATGCCTGATCAATGCAGCAAGGGTAGTCAATGTAGGGATTTGTACCTCTTTATACTTTACGGACTTGCGGGATCACCGCGAGTAAAAGGAGGAAGTTGCTCCTAAGGAAGGGAGATGGGAAATCCAACTGATCTGCTAGGTGCAGATGCTGATGGTGTTCTAGTCTGCGACGGCACCACAAGTTCGCTGATCCAAAAAGTGCAACAGAGGTTAAAAAAACAAGTCTAGCCTTGGATTCTTCAACCGTCCGACTACTTTTGCCTGTGTAACAGAGCGTAAGTTTTGTCATTATAAACATAAATCACCGTGCATATCCATAAAAAATGGGTTTAGAAATTTTTATATGCCGATATATGTAAAATCTCGGACAATACTCGCTATCTCTAATTTGGTAAAAAAAAGAAACGGATCAATCAGCAATTTTAATTTTTCATGATTATGACTCCTTATAACACGTTCTATCTAAAAAGATTTTACTTTCTGCCAACTTGCATCTAAATCCATTGAGCCCCACTGTCCTTGTTTTATGGTGGTGGTGGTGGTGGTGTAGATTAGGGCTGCATAGGAGGTTGTTGCGCCGAAACTTTCGCATGATTATACTTTAAAATAGATTTAATAGAACTAGATTAAATACAATGAAAATAAAACCTACATCTACATTTGCACTATCACTAACATTTATTATTTTCGCAACGAATGGGTCCAAATTCGTCTTGTTGTAATTGGCAAAATACCAGTCCTTATCACTTTTCGTGTTAAAGCTTCTACTGTCGATCAAAGTCTTCTTAGATTCCCTATGAGCCATTGGATCTGGTACAAAGAAGTCCGCAGAATCAGACTGTAGAAAAGCACTGGTAGACTGTAATGATGTTGAAGGGCTTTCTGATTGAGCTGGTGATGCTATTTTGGTTGTAGTAGACTTACCGCCATTTCTGTTCAACTGAGGTGGAGGGGCTACCGGTGCCAATAGTGCTGGAGTTACACTGGTTACCCTTTCGATCTTTGAAACACTATAACTAAGAGTACTGGTGGAAACAGGAGTTGTTATAGAGGATTTTGTCATAGGAGTAGTGTCTGGGGTTGCAGTTGTTTGTGTTTGCAAATTTGCTATATCTGCTGCAGTTGTGGTGTCGACAGCGGTACTTGGAGTGCCAACCAAGTTACTAGGAGATTTTAGAGGAATATCGGAAGCATTTTTCAAATAACTGCTATGAACCGATTCTGACAAAACGTTTAACTCGCTTTTTATATGCTGTTTTTCTTCGGTCAATGCTTTCTTTGATACATTGAAATGTTCCGAACTCCCACTTTTAGTTGAAGGAGGTGTTATTGACAACAAATGGGGACTAGATGCAGTGGGGACGCTACTACTACTCTTATTCTGATGCAAAGAACTATTGAACTTATTCTCAACAGCAACATCATGGGAAGTTCTCTGAGACACCTTCGGAGGTGCAACATTAGCAGGTGGTTCCGTCATGGGATGTGGTATAGGCTTAAAACCTCCATCTCCAGGTAGAATAGGCTTAAATCCTCCTTCAAATTGTGGCGCAGATGGTGGCTGCATAGGAGGCGGTTGCATCAAAGGTGGTTGAAGCCTGTTGATCGTAGCCTTCATATAAGGCAAATGTGACTGGATGTTTCCCATAGTAACTCTTTCATTGCCTTTGTTGACCACTGCAGTTTTTCTTTCAGCTTTTGGTACATTTTGTTTTTGGATGAAGTTTCCTCCCAGAAGCGTATCGAGTGGTATTCCGAAAAAGGTGAATCCACTGCTGCTTGGTGAGTTTGTGACTTTATTTGGGATATCTGGCTTTTTGGTTCTGTTCTTGGGCGCTGCGTAGATTGTAGGTGTACCTGCTGAAACATCAGATATGCTGATCAATATCGATCTTTACAACCAATAATAAAAATCACATATGCGAGTTCAAACTTGTACTGAAGGTGGATCACATCTTCTCGTGTCTCCCGTCTAAACCCTCTAGTGTTGCCTGATCGAACGCTACTTTGCCAGTCTCATCACTTAATTTGCAGAGCCCGTATGATAAAATGGCGAATGTGCCCGACTATTTGTCATCTGCCGTTCATTTCCAAAGCTCGTAAGCTTGACAATGGCTACTCTAGCCATCTTGTCGTATAGAGATAAGCGTAAGTCGAGTTTGTATATATTGTACCGGTTTTTTAACTGTTCCACATCAATACTTACTGAATTGTAGATTTCTAACGTCATTTGAATATTTGATGCATCTTGGCGTTAGAACATATCTGACCAAACCTTGTAACTGGCGGTTGTTCGTAAAAGTTGAAATCGTTAGTTTCTGTAACATGTTTACCACGCAGTAGGTGTTATAGAACCTTAAGCAAACCTTTGGGTTCAAATAATCGCTTTATGGCAGCTGATCTTAAGGTTTTCTAAATTTTTGGTTGTCTCGCAAGATTTTAGACTGATAAAGTTTAACCTAATCTCAGTTTTCAAAAAGAGATGAAACAGTTTGTGTCAATCAAACCGGTTTGACAATTTGTAGCACCATTTGGTCTGTTAAATTATGTCGTATCTTATATAGAATGTGGTCGTGTGCAAACAGTGTGTGATACTTGTGATTTTTATGTTTAAAGTAAATAAGTTCAGTCAGTCAGTTATATGTTATGATAATATTTTCTGTTTTACTAATGTGCTCCAAATCGGCGATTCTTATATTAAAGTTTTATAGGTGACATTTTTCGATGTACTCGTATACGGATATACTAAGTTAATTCGTTAGGGTAATATTTTGTCTCCCTTTTGTTCCTAATTTATGCTCTTCGTGTGTGATTTTGCTTAACTGTCGGTTTAATTAACAATGAAAATATAATGTTTTTGAAAAGGTACAATTTACAAGCCACTTGGTACCACTTAACAAACCGCTCGCTAAATTGTATTGTTTGCAACATTTTTTTTAAAAAGTTCATTATTTTAACTATCAGTGTTTACATAAATTTTTACCGCACATTTTGATAGAAACGTGTGAAATAATCTCACTTTAAATTAAAATAAGTAGCTTATAAGTTATTTTATAAAGTATGCCAAGTGGTTCACATTCCCCAAATTTACCCTAAATAATAAGTACTCTTTTCAAACACAAATAATCCTGCAGTAACTGAAAATGATCAAGGTTCAATTATGTGCTATCAAGACGATTCCAAGGACACCTTGAGTTTCAAAAACCACCACGTCGTGAAATAGAAATTTCAAAGTCGATGATTTCATTAAAATTCAAAATCCGTCATTTTGTTCTTCTTTAATGAACTGCTAATACGAATCCAACAACACCTCATATGACAAAATCCATCTAGTCGTTGAGCGTATGGACCGTGGAATAGATTCATTTAACCCAGAGTTCCCCAAACTTTTTTGTGTCGTAGACCCCTTGCCATATTTTTCCGTGTTGGGTAGACCCCCTACTTACCTGAATTTGATTTCCTGTAAATTTCTAACTTTAGTGAAGTTTAGTGTTAAAAACTTAAAGTAAAAACACATGTTAATTTATACATTTATTAATTGAATTTAAATTAAAACTACTCAAAA